TGCTGCTGCTGCTGCTGCTGCTGCAGGTGTACCCGTGCAAAGTGCTGCGGAGGCCCTTCATTCGGATTTATCCTTTTTTGGAAACTTTTGATGTTGGAGACACTTTGGCCATTCCCCAGCTGCAGACAAACCTCCTCGACGCCTTCTAAACCCTAAACCCTAAACCCTAAACCCTAATTTGCGAGCAGCTCCCTTGACGGGGGGCCCCTGAGTCAGGGGCCCCCAGCAGCCGCCCCCAGAATGGGGCCCTCTTATGGCTGCACTGTTGCTGCTGCTGCTGCTGTTGCCGCTGCTGCAGCCACCTGCAGCAGCAGCAGCAGAAGCAGCAGCAGAAACAGCAGCAGCAGCAGGTGAGAAATATCTTTTCTGAGGCTTATTAAGTTTCGTGAAATGAAAAACAAAAAGAAATAAAAGTAAATCCGCAGACACTGCAACACCCACAGCAGGTGTACATACACCGCAGCAGCCAGGACTTCTGCGCTGTACAGACACCCGAAACAAATACTAAATGGTTTTAAATGCCATTTTCATTTATTCGTTATTCTTTTATTTATTTTAAACGTGCAGGGAAAAAGAGCTCATGCATGCATTCGTGAGTATATTTATAAATGCAGTTATTTATTTATTTATTTTATTTATTTTATTTACTTTATCCACTTATTCGTTTATTTTTCACCGTATTTAATTCTACATTTGTATTTTTTTTATTTTATTTACTTTTATTTAAGCGCATGCATATGTTTACATTTGAACATTCTTATTTTTGTAAAATATATATTTTAATTTTATTTTATTTCATTTTTAAACTATTTCAATTCTAGTTTGAAGTGTATTTGCTTTTATATGTTTAAATAAATGCATTTAAACACTTTAATGCACTTTGCTTTATTTGAAACTGGCCTATAGATATAAGGGCAAAAATAGAAATTAAAAATTAAATGAAAAATATATAAATTGGAAAAGATTAAAAGTGGATTTTAAAATGAAAGTGGAATTAAAAATATAAATGGAAATAAAAACATGAATGGAAATAAAAATATAAATGTAAAAATATACAAATGGAATAACAGACTCTGCATCGGAAAAGAATATAAATAGAAGCAATATAAACATAAGTAAAATAATAAAAATAAAAGTACACTTTTTATTTTACTTTTTTGCGCCACTCGTGTACATACACCTGAAAATCGCTGCAGCAGTTCAGCAAAAGGAAAACTTTTTATTTCTTACTTTCCGAATATATTTTATTATACAAGATATTCTATAACATCTATTTTAATGTGCTAAGATAAATAATATATATATTCATTTATTTGTTCATTTACTTTTTATATATTAATCATTACTTATTTATTACAGAGTTTGTTTTGCCGTTGATGTACAATGGCTATATGCATGAATATATATTATTTCCGCATATTTGTCTATTGACTTATTATTCAATTATATTCAATTATCATTCAATTAGATTTATTATTCAATTATATTTAATTATTATTCAATTATATTAAATTAATTTACATTTACATTAATTTATATTCATTTAAGTTTATTTATTCGGTAGAGGTATCTGTACACCCGAAATCCACAAAATGCGGAATTTCTGCATTTTCAAAAATAATGCCATTTTCAGCTGTCTATACACTAAAACGGATCATTTTTTCATTTAAATTATTAATTTTTCCTTTTAACTATATTTAATGGCGAAAAATGAATTCAATTCGAAGAAATTTGCAACTACTGATGCGCACAGAGAGAAACTGCTCAGGTGTACGTACACATGTGTACGTACACCCCAATGCACTCAACAACAGCGTTTTCTTGTTTCTGTCTACAGATCACAATAATTTCATTTTCATTTTTAAAATTTAAAATATATAAAAATAATTTACATTTACAGGCTTCTCGAGAAGCTTGCTTGAATGCTGCTGCTGCTAAACCCTAAACCCTAAACCCTAGCAGCTAATTCGTTTTTGGGATCCTCGAGGGCCTTCGACAAAAAAGTGGAAGTAATAAAAGAAATAATTGACAAAAGAAATTGACACGAACCCTAGACCCTAAACCCTCAACCCTAAACCAAGATGAAATAAGAGGAAGCAAAAATGCGGCAGCTGCGCTAGAGCTCAGCAGCAGCAGCTGCCAGAGCATTTGCTGCTGCAGGTGCTGCAGCTACGACTGCTGCTGCAGCGGCTGCTGCTGCGGCTCCGCTTTCCCTGCTGCTGCTGCTGCTGCTGCTGCTGTTGCTGCTGCTGCTGGGGTTGCGGTGAGCTTCAATGAAACTGGCCACAGCTTCTTTGATGGCTTTTCTTCCTTCCTTTAAAGAAGAACTGTCCGAAGGCGAGGGGCTGTAGAAGTCCGTGCAGTGCGACCCGCCCTGCGGCCCCACAGCAGCAGCAGCAACAGCAGCAGCAGCAGCAGGTGCGGCAGCAGCAAAACAAAAGCATCAGCAGAAACAGCAGCCGCAGAGCAGTAGCAGAAGCAACAGCAGCAGCAGAAGCAACAGCAGCGACGGAAGCCGTAAAATCAGAAGCAGCAGTAGGAAGCGCAGCAGCAGCAGCAGAAACGGCAGCAAAAGCAGCAGCAGCAGCACTAGCAGCAAAACAGAGCTGCTGCTGCAGCCTCCCACTGTCCACTGGTCCTCCCGTGCGGGGCGCCGGCGCGGGCGGCCTCGCAGGGTTAAGGGTTTAGGGTTTAGGGTTTAGGGTTTAGGGTTTACTTGGATAACGAAGGCGGAGACTCTTTGGTGGATTTGAACGGACTTTGGAACTTTTAAAACTGAAAGACTTTTCCAAGGATCTGCTGCTCCGTTTGTGAAGTGTATGTTTGTTGCGGTGTCTGTACACCCCAGCTGCTGCCCCCCGCCCCACAAGTTCGTTTCTTTCATGCCTTTGTCTGCAAACCTCCCTTCTGCGCAGTAGCAGCAGCAGCAGCAGCAGCAGCAGCAGCAGCAGAAACAGCAGCAGCAGAGGCAGCAGCAGCAAGCAGCAGCAGGAGCAGCAGCAGAAGCAGCAGCAGCAGAAGCAGAAGCAGCAAACCCGCGGACGTCTTGGGACTTAAGAGGGTCAAGTAGGGTTTGCGAGGGTTTAGTAGGGTCTGAAGGGTTATGTAGGGTTTAGGAGGGTTTATGAGGGTTCACAGGAGTTTTTGAGGGTTTAGTAGAGTTTAGGAGTGTGTATGAGGGTTTAGTGGACTTTAAAAGGCTATGGGAGGCATCAGGAGGACTTAGTAAGGTTTCGTAGGGTTTAGTAGGGTTTAGGGTTTAGGGTTTAGGGTTTACTGGGGAGGGGGAACAGCTTGTTGCAGACGTCGAGGTGGAACTGCTCGGTTATGGACTCGGGCCGCAGGCTGCCAGGGTAAGCCACCTAAACCACAAATTAGGGTTTAGGGTTTAGGGTTTAAAGGCGAGCAGTAGCACGCAGAGGCACGCTGAGCCCAAGTGGATCTACGGCTCAGAGCCCCCAAGCTTGGGGTTTAGGGTTTAGGGTTTAGGGTTTAGGGTTTAGGGTTGAGGGCTTAAGGTTTACAGTTCAGGGTTTAGGGTCTAGGGTATAGGGCTTAAGGTTAACAGTTCAGGGTTTAGGGTTTAGGGTTTAGGGTTTAGGGCACCTGCCAAAAGCCAAACTGCGCGCAGCTCTGCCACATCCACAGTCGCGTG